CACCACCCACTAATATACCACTAATACACCACCCACTAATATACCACTAATATACCACTAATACACCACCCACTAACACACCTTCTGAACACAACTTGTCAGAGTTGAATGAGTCCTGATCTTTTTCTTTGTGGCTCTTTTCCAGGATTAATGCCGTTTCTAATGGCCAAGTGAGAGGAGACACCTATGGAGAAGGATGCCTGGGCAGGACAGGTGTGTGTGTGTGTGTATGTTTGTGTCTCTGTGTCTGTCTCTTTGTGTGTCAGCCCTGATCCGGGACCCTGGAGCCCCCCTGGGGGGCTTCCTGGGGCAGCCTGGTGATCAGAGTGTTTTTCTGTGGCAGGAGCTCGTGTCTGGCTCTTCATCGGCTTCATGGTGATGTTCGGCTCCCTCATCGCCTCCATCTGGATCCTGTTTGGGGGCTACGTGGTTCCAAGTGAGTCCCCCCCCCATATTTCTCCATGCTGTAGCGGCTCTCCTGGATGAGCCCGGCTGTCCTGAGAGCTCAGCTCACAGCCTGTCTGCTCCTCTCCCCACAGAAAAAGAGGTGGCCCCGGGTTTGGCCGTCTTCTTTCAGAATGCCTTCATCTTTTTCAGGTAGGTGGAGCACGACTGTGGACCGAGGCCAGCTTTGAATTAGCCCATAGCTCAGAACCAGCAGGGATTAGTGAGAAGAGGGTGTTTTCCAGGTTTAGTTTATTTCCTTAAATGCAAGTTACCAGCAACTTTAAAAAAAAACTTTCTTTCCTTAAATGCAGATCAACAGGTACTTAGTTAAAAAAAAAAACTTTAATGCCTTAAATGCAAATTAACAGGTACTTAGCATCACAAAGAAAAAGAGAGAAAAACAGGCATGCACAAAAAGATAAAAAAAAAAAAAAGAATCTGTACTCCCAAAAAAAGGGATATTTTAGATTTAAAGAAGCCATCATAATATTAATAATAGTAATAATAATAATAATAATAATAATAATAATAATAATAATAATAACTGGATATCTTAAGAAAGACATTCAGTAACTGGGGTCCTCAGAAAAACAGGTACTTTTAGCTGTAATTATAATTAATTAAGATATTCCATCATGTAAACATGTTTTACTTTCTGCCACCACTGAGTCTTCATCCAATTGATAGTAATATTTTCTCCATGTTGTTTTTCATCAGTACAGATGAAGGTCAGTGTTGTTCTGTGTTGTCCGACAGCTTTCTGTATCACATCTGTGATGTTACTGAGCTCCTACACAACACAGACTTAGACAAAATACTGAAAAACAGCCTAAAGTGGGACCTCTGAAGCCCCCCAAACTCTGCCCTGAGGCAGATGGAGGAGCTTCCCCAGGCTGGATGTGTGAGCCCTGACTCCCCTCTCCTCTCTCTCTGCAGCACTCTGATCTACAAGTTCGGCCGGACCGAGGACCTGTGGGGTTAGAGCTCAGCCTCTGGCCCCCCTGTGAGCAGGGAAGCTCCAGGAGTTTGTAAAATACTTCCCCAGGCCTTCCAGGGGCTTCGGTCCCCATGACCACTGTTCAGGGCCAGTGACTGTAACGACAGCTTCAAACACTGCTGGGGTATTTCAGCTCTCAGAAGCTGGAGCTTCTTTCATTTTGACCGTATTTTGACCACATTCTACGAATCATCTGGTGTCAGTGGTCAGCTTCTGTTAGTAAATTCCTCTAAAATTACCGTATTTTCCGCATTATAAGGTGCACCAAAATGTCAGTGACATATTGTTTTTGCAACAGGTAACATAAAACATTCTGATACGTTACCGTAAATCAGAGGTTAGTGCATCACAATATATAGCAGCTAGCTTAAATCTAACCACCTTTTCTTGTTAAAAAACAAACCAACCACCTGTTGTCGTAGTTAGGATCAGATTCAACGTTTACCTTTAATTTAAACACTTTTAAGGGCCTCCTTCTCTCACTGCGTCCACTTTTAAAACGGGGACTAACAGATATGTTTTTGTGTAGTCCCCAGAATTGAAGTGTTTTAGGCGCCTCATAGAGCGGAAAATACGGTAATTATTTATAGAATAAGGAAGAATCTGTGATGAGGGCTGGAAGCAAGAGGAGCTACAGCCGTGTGTACATTTAGTTGGATCCCAGAAGTCTGTTGTACATTTCTCTGATTTGTTGAACTGCTTTTATTTTAAGGTGTTCTGTGTAAATATGATTTGTCCTTTAGAGTCACGATCTCTGCTCCGAAGTTTGGAGAGCAGAAGAGAAGGGAAAAGGGAAACTAGAGGACAGAGGAGCCGGCTCCAGGAAGCCGCCATCTTTGTTTTCTGCTGCTCTCAAAGACAGAAACAACAGATTTTCTGTTATTGTCTCACACAGATCCTGGTTTTAATCACTCCTTTGGATAAACTCCCCCAAGAAGTCTTAAGTGGGTTAAACCTGCTCAGACCCCCTTTGTAAAGTAGATTTTAGATATTTAGTGATAAACCCCTCACAAAGCCCCCTTTGTCCTCCATGTGTTTTACTGTGGGAATATCTTTGTACTGCAGTCAGTTTGTATGAAAAGTGTAAAACCAGTAAATTCTGATGCAATGACTCCAGCTGTGGACCGTTTGTTTAAGCTGGAGGAGCCAGGAACCAGGGCAGGAACCAGAGGAACCAGGACAGGAAGCAGGGCAGGAACCAGAGGAACCAGGACAGGAAGCAGGGCAGGAACCAGGATAGGAAGCAGGAACCAGGACAGGAGATAAGACAAATATTTTGGAGCATTCATTTTAGTCAGGGTACTTAAGACAAACCAAGTTTGAATCCTTTTTCAAAACTTTTATTAAAAACACATAAATCACAGTTTCTGACATACAGTCGAGTTCAGGGGTGTCAGCCGAGGCGTTCAGGGACCAGCACCTCCAAAGCTGAAGCATTGTCTAATTAGATGCTAATCAGCCTCCAGCTTTTTGGCTGATCTCAGATCAGATCCAGGTGCCCTGAGCTGGAGGGCTATGGGCCCAGTCTGGGCTGACAGGAGCAGGTGTGATCCCACTAGGAGGGGGGGGTCAAGAGTCTGGGGCCCCCTCCTGCTGGTCCAGGCTGCACAGCAGGTCGTAGTGCTCCTCTCTCTGCTGGAGCACGGAGGGCAGAGTCACCGGACCCGCCTCCAGGACCTGCAGAGGACCGGAGCATCCGTCAGGGACCTGAACGCACCACAGACAGCCGACGCACCACAGACAGCCGACGCACCACA